GGGTGTGAGTGTCAGTGCGTCTGTTTACAGTATGAGTGGGTGGGTCCCTTCCGGTGGTTTATAACTAAACATTACCATCAACAGGATTAATGTCCTATTTGAATGGTTTTTGCTAAAAACAAGAGAACGTACACACAACCAAACACACACACGCTCACAAAACAAATGGCTGGCTAATGAAATGTCTTTCATGCAACGAAGACACCCTTTTTTCTTGTTTTAAGCTTCTGTAACGACGACCCACAAGTCGTCTTGTAATTGTAGTTGTTGTTGTTGTTGTTTCATTTTGGCTTTTAATATTTTAGCTACTGCAAAAATATTATTTCAGCGTTGTGTTTGTTGTCTTTTGGATTCAATTCAAAGGAAAACGGCTAGAAGGAAAAGCAACACAACAGTTTCCCTTTTTCTATTTCCATTTTTTAAAATAACCCAGGAAATGTATGTGTGTTGTATGTACATGATTTGTGCATTTGTCATAGATATGTTTGTATGTAATTATTATTATTTTTTCTTGTTTATTTAATGCACATGTATGGGATATGCTTAAGCATACATAAATATTAAGCAACCAAAAGGCATAAGAGGAAAGAAAAAAAAATAGGGAAAGAAAAACAGTAAAAAAAAGAATGCCGGCCCTCCAGCCAACTAAACCGACAAACGTTTAAGCCATCCAGAAATGAAAGTGTTATATTACCGAACGGATATTAAAGCGAGGAAGTTTGTTTGCTCAAATGTCAACATGCCAACAAACAAAAACAGTATTTGACCAAGGGAATTGGATAAATAGCAAACAAATATAAAAAAATATTAAAAGGAAAAAAGGAAGGAGTTATCAGCTGGATTTTCAATTTGACGAAATATTAATTAAATGACTTGGCAACTATTATTACTTAATTTAATGGTAAGTGTATGTTTATGATACTTGCACTTTTGTATATTAAATATGTACATATTTCAAACTATTCGTTTGTTCGTATACAAAATTGTTTTATTTTTTTTTTAGAATATTTTCAGACATGTCGTATAAATTTCGTAAAATATATTCATATACTGCATTCAATATGAATTCAAAACGCTATCTACCAGTAAATATTCTCTCATAAAAAATAATATTAAAGTAGAGAGAGAGAGAAAAGAGATTCCGAAAATCATCAGACATGTCTGAACATTTTCGTAAAATATTTTTTTATATTTCATATTGATTTGATATTATAAAATATAACCTAATATTGTAAAATGGAATCTCCTTCATCTTCCACAAAGCATTGCATTCTTACTCGATTAGTCCGTGTGTAGGGATACGTAGTAGACTGACTAAAAATTTGACTTTTCGATCTTTTGATTTTTTTTAAAACTTGCTCAAAATCGATTTTCGACTTTTAACAATCGACTAAAAATTTAATTTTTTATACATCAATTGTTGTCATCAGACGAAATAAAGTTATGGAATATGTAATTTTTGGGAAGTTTAGGCTTTTTGACAATAAACCAAGTATTAATGAAGAAAATCGAAAGTCGATCTTAAAAAGTTTACTTTGCGATTTACTCAAAGGTCACAAGTCAACATCGACAAGAATAGGGATAAGTAAATCGACTAAAAGTCTAAAAGCAAAACAAAAAGTTGATTAATCGATTAGTCAAAAGTCGATTTACTTATCCCTATTCTTGTGTTAGTTTCTTTGGAAACTGTCCTAGGTGCTTACATCTATGGTGGCCTAGAAGCAACACCTCCTTGACTTTGTGCAGTGGTTGTTGTACTTGTTTATTTAGTGTTGATATTTTCCTCTGAGTGGAACTATACGCTGCCATTCCCCATGTTGGTTATTCTAATGTTAGGGGGATTCGGGTAGATTTCATCTGGAGAGTTATAGAAGCATATTGTTTACAAATATTTAAAAATGATAATTTTTTACTCTTTCTACTTCGTTGGAATTCGAACTCGGCTACGCACTGCACTACGCCAAAATAAAGTGAAGTCCATTGAAAAAAATCGTGAACATATATTTCCTTCCTTGCTTGGAAATTAACAATAGAATCCCTTTTTTTGCGGCATTTCACTGTTTGGAAAAAATTGTGCTCAGTTCATCGAGGTGTTCACTGTATTAAGACACGATTGAATATATTTTTTTTATTTTGTGGTGAATATTGAATTTATTTAGAGTTGATGTTGAAATTTCGTAAACAAAATTCTTAGGAAATAAAGGATAACCAGGAAAAATAGTTTCCTATCATCATAATTATGATAATGTACATCGACATTAAAAACAGGTATTAGAGTAATAAAATTAAATATTAGAGATGTGTGGTGCATACTTTTAGGAGCCATGGCGACATTCATTAAATTGTAAGTTATCTTTCACAAATCTCAAAAGCATACTAACGATTTTCCCTACCGACTTTTGATTTAAAAAATAAAATAAAAAAATCGAAAATCTTTCAGATTTTTTTAATGGAAAAACATCCAACTTAGAAGTAAAAATGTATTTTGGGGAATTACTCTTCTGATAGAAAACAATTTATCTAATTTAAATTTTTAAACCGCTTTTTTGAAACCTTTGAGATTTTTTACATATATCAGAGTTCTACAAATAAGAACAAATAATAGAGGAAAATTATCCACAACTTGGAGATAAAACTTGTTCCTGAGAATTTTTTTTTTTTTTTGAGAAAAATTATCTTCATATCTATGAATATTATTCTCTTTAATTAAATCATGTAGTTTTCATAAGAAAAATTGTACAATTATTATATGTGAATTAATCATAGATGTGTGGTGCATACTTTTAGGAGCTATGTAATTCAAATCTGCCACATATGTTGGGAATTTATTTCTCAGTAAAGACCTTTAACACGGTTTGAATATGTGTTTTGTACTGGTAAATTCTATAGAACAGTTGAGAATTATAAAAAGCAGTCTTCGATATAAAATTATCGATATAAAGTTATCCCAATTTTTTTAAAAATAATATTAATCATATTTTTGGGGTAAATATTACAACCAACAGTAAAAATACATTTTGTTCTATAGCAGAAAATGTGTGATAAATTTATTTCTGAACGAAATAAACTATTGCAAAGCTTATAAGTCTCTTTTTTTTAAATATTTAATATAGTTCAAGATTTGGGGTATTGGTAAAATAGTTCAAATTATATGGCTGTAATTTGGATTTTTTGGTTCACAGTAGGTTAAAAAATTTCATGAAAAAATAAAGTATGCGCTACATGTATAGATACTAATTGAAGGTGGTGTAAAAACGTTTCAATATAGTCGGATGAAAAACTACATCTTCGATTCATTCAAAAATTCAATATTAATATCGGTCTACACATATGATATATCTACAGTAATCACCAGACTGTTATCCATTTTCTATATTCTGATCTAGCTACCCTATTGCAGATTGCTGCACAAATTCAAAAATAATTTATTCAATTTTTTTCATGAAACTGAAAATAATTGGCAATTTTGAATGTTCGTGCAGATCTTAATATATGATATTTCATTAGAACTTCCACACCTAAAAAATGTCTCATCTTAATAGCTCTACAAATTTTGAAAATGTGTTACAGTGATACAAAATAGAAAAAAAAATATATATTGAATGGTGCATACTTTTAGGAGTAACCAAAAGAAATAAAATATAGTGACATAGAATTTTTAAACATTTTGTAAGCTAAACAATTCTATAATCTTTCCTTTTATTTCACACAAATATCCCTGGCAAAATATATCTAATGATTTTATTAAAATGTATGGTGCATACTTTTAGGGGCTATTTGTAAATATCTGTCTTTCAATTAAAGAAGTCTGCAATGACAATTATTTGGCTAATTTAAAACTCCGTTACAATAATTTCACCCCGCACTGTCCTACCCAATTCGACCACATGAATAATAATATTAAATTGCCTGCGGTAAGCGTGTGGCAAGAAAGCTAGCAAAGAAAGCAGCCAAGGCAAGTAACTAACATCGCTCTGCCCATTTAAGTCAGCAAACATTTTTTCCCCATTACATATGTAGATACGATGTAGTGATGTCGAGAATGCGTGTTTGTTGTTGGCTGGGGCTGTGTTTAAGTGCAAAATGTTTATGCCATTACTGTCGGACAAAAGAAAGCAGCCAATATAAAAAAGAATACCATGAAGACGGCGAAAATAAAGAAAAGCCCCCAGAACGGAACAAATTTAATGCTTTCGACATTGGACATGGAGAGATAGATACTGAAGAACTGAAGAAATTTGAACATATGTATGGACATGGAAAAGAGATAAATGGCGACTCGTGTATTTTATGTGTCCATGGAGGAGTTCAAGCAGAAGAAGGAAATGGTCAAAATGTTTAGAAGATTAGAGTTTGACACCAAACACACACACACACACACAACACAAAGTGTTTATGCTTTTGGGTGTCTTTTGTTGTTGTTTTTGTCTATGGGATTTTATTCATGGTTTGTTTTCTTTATGGTTGACAGTTGAATAATAAATGTTAGGCGAATGAACAGAAATGGCAGGGGATCAGACAGACTGCAACATTATTTTAGCCAGCATTGAATGGAAGAAAAGCTGAAGAAGGAGAAGAAGATGCCATCTTCAACACATTGACATATTGTGGGATATATAAAAATATGTTCATCGTTTGTATTTTGTTGTGATACATATTATGGACACTCTGTGGACATATATTGACACTTCAGGCAGGAAATTAAATGGAAGCGAAACGAGAAAAAAATAAATAAAATAAAATGAAACGAAAATAACATAAAAGATATATAAATGTCAAATGAACTCCTTACAGTTATTAAAACAGGCCACTGTCATTATCATTATCGTCAGCAGCATCAATTTTTTTTGTGGGACCTTTTTGATGGTCCCTTGTCTTATCTTTTACTCATTTGTTTTTATGCCACTTTACAAATCTTCTATTCTATATACATACATACAAACATATGCAAAAAAATATCGTAGATACGAGACATGTATGTAGGGTGGGTGTGTACTCACTTTATTTAACTTTTGCTCTAATCGCACGAATGCCGCCTCAAGATCAGCAAGTCGACGCTGTAGATTATCCTGCTGTAGTGCAAATTTTGTTGTTGTTGTTGTAGATGATTGACACGATGCAGATTTCATTCACATTGTTTTTTTGTTGTTGGAGTTGTTGTTGTTATGGGTTGGTTTCAAGGTAGGATGCAGGAAGGTTTTAAAGGATAATATAAACAAGTGAATATTGGAAATAAAAGAGAAAACAAAATCAAAATGAAATAAAGGATAAATAACAAAATGGAAAGGAAGGGAACACAAATGTGATTTTTAAAAAGCGAATGAATGTGTGTGTGTGTGCTGGTGTGAATGCTGCTGAGTTAATGAAAAGCGAGTGTATGTATAATGTGCGAATGTCATGAATATGAAGTGATGGCAACATAAAGGTAAACTTTATTAAAATTTTACAAATTAAATAGATTTTTTACAGTGAAGCTTAAATGGAAATATATATATATAGTTGTACACCATAGCTAAAGAAAATACTACAACAATTATGGAAATTTAAATAATATAATTTCAGGATTTAAAAAAAAAAATAATTTTCTAGTCATAATATAGTGCTGCATAATTTTAGGGGCTACGTAATTTAATAAGGATTAAGGGATTTTTTCTTATTGGTAAAATATGATTTATGGTTCAGAAGATAAAATTCTCCCAGACATTGTGATAGTTTTCAGACATGCCTGACCAAAATCTAAAATAATTAGGAAGTTGTAATTATGGACCCCTCATTACAAAATCTATACTAATAAAAGTGTAAAGTGATTGAACCCAGAAATTTGGTATTAGTATCACCGCTTGGAAAATATAAGAAGTTTTGAAAATTTCTATTAATGTGTACCAAATGGTACTGAATTTGGTACAAACAATATTTATTACAGACATATTCTTTAATAAATCCACGCTTCTGTGGAGGTCCTTGCAATAAAAAATAAATAAATCCAAACCTTGTGGAGACCCTTGAAAAATCTTTAATAATTTCACAACATGCGGAGATCCATGGAAAATTATTTAATAGTTATGCTTAATGTTTATTTGTGTACAAGCGAAGTGTCCGCTACATCGATTCCTCTCTCCGTTACCCAAATCCAAATTGTTCCAAAACTTAGTGCATTTAGTACCTAAATTAGAATTACCAAAGTCTACCTACCTATAATAATTACCAAAGCTATCTCTATAGCTCAATCCTACACTTCAACAGCTATCTACAATTCAAATCTCATGATTTCAGCCATATCCATTCACCCGAATCCAAATTGTACCAAATTTAGTACCATTTAGTATTTTTCATACTCATAAGTAAAAATTTCTAATACTACATCAATCCTACACTTTAACACTGATCTTAATTCCTTCAAACTCCAGATTGTACCAAATTTAGTACTTTTCGTACTCTTAAGTACGAATTAAAAAAAAACTACCTCAATCCTGCTTTCAAATGGTAAAGGTAAGTCCAAAATTTAAGAATCCACCTCTATCTGTCCATCGAAATCCAAATTGTTCTAGATTTGCTAACATTCTGTATTTTTCGTACTCATATTCCAAACCTGCCTCAATCCTACAGTAATCTTAGTTGCAGATTTCAGGTTCTACACGTTTACCAATGTGAAATTTGTAACAAATTTAGTACTTTTCGTACCAATAAGTACCAAAACTCCTAATTCATACACTTCAATTATAATCTCAAGTCCACATTTAAGGCGTCCAGCCTATCCATTCACCAACATCCGAATTGTACCAAATTTAGTACCATACTTTACTTTTCGTAGACGTAAGTCCGATTTACTAAAACATCCTCAGTTCGACACTTTAACAGTAACTTTAATCAAACATTTCAGGTTCCAGCACTATCCGTTCACATAGATATAAATTGTACCATATTTAGTACCATTTAGTACTTTTCATACATATAAGTTCGAATTTCAAACACTACCTCAATCACGAACTCTAACAGTAATTTTAATTCCAAATATTAGTTTTCCATCTCTATCTGTTCACTCAAATCTAAATTGTATCAAATTTAGTACTAAATATGGTACAATTTAGTACTAAATATGGTACAATTTAGTACGAAATATGGTACAATTTAGTAATAAATATGGACAATTTAGTACAAAATTGTACCGATTAAGGCTACATTCGGGTCATTGACCCCGGATTAAGTCTTAATCCGGATTAAGGTCATTGACCCCGGATTAAAGGTCATTGACCCCGGATTAAAGTCCATTGACCCCGGATTAAGATCATTGGTTCCGGATTAAGGGTTAATCCGGATTAAGGTCATTGACCCCGGATTAAAGGTCATTGACCCCGGATTAAGTCTTAATCCGGATTAAGGTCATTGACCCCGGATTAAGCCTTAATCCGGATTAAGGACATTGACCCCGGATTAAAGGTCATTGACCCCGGATTAAGCCTTAATCCGGATTAAGGTCATTGACCCCGGATTAAGCCTTAATCCGGATTAAGGTCATTGACCCCGGATTAAGCCTTAATCCGGATTAAGGACATTGACCCCGGATGAAGGTCATTGACCCCGGATTAAACCTTAATCCGTATTAAGGTGTTTGACCCCGGATTACGGCTTAATCCGGATTAAGTTCATTGAGCCCGGATTAAAGTTCATTGACCCCGGATTAAGGTCATTGACCCCGGATTAAGCCTTAATCCGGATTAAGGACATTAAGGTAATTTACCCCGGATTAAGGCTTAATCCGGATTAAGGTCATTGACCCCGGATTAAAGGTCATTGACCCCGGATTAAGTCTTAATCCGGATTAAGGTCATTGACCCCGGATTAAGCCTTAATCCGGATTAAGTTCATTGTCATTGACCCCGGATAAAGCCTTAATCCGGATTAAGGTAATTGACCCCGGATTAGTCCTTAATCCGGATTAAGTTCATTGACCCCGGATTAAGCCTTAATCCGGATTAAGGACATTGAACCCGGATTAAAGGTCATTAACCCCGGATTAAAGTTCATTGACCCCGGATTAAGGTCATTGACCCCGGATTAAACCTTAATCCGGATTAAGGTCATTGACCCCGGATTAAGCCTTAATCCGGATTAAGGACATTGACCCCGGATTAAGCCTTAATCCGGATTAAGGACATTGACCCCGGATTAAGGTAATTGACCCCGGATTAAGCCTTAATCCGGATTAAGGTCATTGACCCCGGATTAAGCCTTAATCCTGATTAAGGTCATTGACCCCAGAGTAAGCCTTAATCCGGATTAAGGACATTGACCCCGGATTAAAGGTCATTGACCCCGGATTAAGCCTTAATCCGGATTAAGGTCATTGTCCCCGGATTAAAGGTCATTGCCCCGGAATAAGCCTTAATCCGGATTAAAGGTTATTGACCCCGGATTAAGGACATGGCCCCCGGATTAAGCCTTAATCTGGATTAAGGTCATTGACCCCGGATTAAGGTCATTGACCCCGGATTAAAGGTCATTGACCCCGGATTAAAGTTCATTGACCCCGGATTAAAGTTCATTGACCCCGGATTAAGGTCATTGACCCCGGATTAAGCCTTAATCTGGATTAAGGTCATTGACCCCGGATTAAGGTCATTGACACCGGATTAAGGTCATTGACCCCGGATTAAGGTCATTGACCTCAGATTAAAGGTCATTGACCCCGGATTAAGGGTCATTGACCCCGGATTAAGGCTTAATCGGTACAATTTGGTACTAAATTGTACCATATTTAGTACTAAATTGTACCATATTTAGTACTAAATTGTACCATATTTAGTACCAAATTGTACCATATTTAGTACTAAATTGTTCCATATTTAGCATTAAATTTGATACAATTTAGATTTGAGTGAACGGATAGAGATGGAAAATTTATATTTGGAATAAAAATTACTGTTATCATATTTAGTACTAAATTGTTCCATATTTAGTACTAAATTGTACCATATTTAGTACTAAATTGTACCATATTTAGTACTAAATTGTAGAGTGATTAAATTTGCTACAATTTTAACTTTGGTGAACGTATAGAACTGGAATCCTGAAAACTGCAACTATGATTACTATCGGTGTAGGATTGAGACAATTTTGGAATATGGGTATGAAAAATACAGAATGGTACCAAATCTGGTACAATTTGGATTTCGATGAGCAGATAGAGGTGGATTCTTAAATTTGGACTTACGTTTACCATATGAAAGCAGGATTGGGGTAGTTTTTTTAATTGGTACTTGTGAGTACGAAAAGTACTAAATTTGGTACAATCTGGAGTTTTGAGGAATTCAGAATGTAGGATTGGTGTAGTTTTAGAAAATCTTACTTATGAGTATGAAAAGTACTAAATCGTACTAAATTTGGTACAATTTGGATTTGGGTGAATGGATATGGCTGAAATCCTGAGATTTGGAATTTAGTTTACTGTTGAAGTGTAGGATTGAGCTATGGAGACGGCTTTGGAAATTCGAATGTAGGTTTACGAATAGTACTAAATGCACTAAATTTTGGAACAATTTGGATTTGGGTAACGGAGAGAGCTGAAAATCCAAAATTTGTTATTAACTGGTACTAAATTTAGTGAAATTAGAAGTACGATTGATATATGGTGGTAGCCTTGAAAATGTGTAGCTATGTATTCGAAATGTGCTGAATGGAACTAAATGTGGAACCTGTAGGCATTTTCTAAGATATATAATTATAATATTGATTCCGTATAATGGAAAAAAATGAAAGAAATTTCGGAAGAAGCACCAGATGTTATTAAATTTAGATGTAGGAATAGTAGTGGATTTCGGAATTATGGTACAACAAATTATGCAGTATTCACGATTTCCATATAAAATATTATTTATTCCTTTTTATTCCCTTTCCGCTTACGAAGTTTTCTAGTAGAAAATAATGTACTCTGATATTTTTTAAAACAATTTCCCATGTGTGGTGCATACTTTTAGGGGCTACGTAATTAAAAACGTGAAACCCAATATATTGAAGGGTATTTTTTCTACTGGTAGATTATTTTCTAAAGTTTACAAGATATTTAATATGT